CTGTGTCCTGGCTCACTCCTTTAACCTTTTCAAAGATTCATCCTAACATCTGCATCTTGCGGCATTCGTACGACAACGAAGCTGACTGTTCTTAATTGAAATCAAAATCATATACATGTTATAGTATGATAGTATCAATAACATATAATTATGAACAGAAAATCATATATGTATTGCCGATTTTATCAATGCGACTGTAAATAATATAATAATTATTACTGACCATATTATATTGAATAAAAAATGAATGCAATGTATTGTGTACTAGTAGTAAAAATGCATAAAATAATTTTAGTTCGTGAATTGAATTTTGAAAAATTAATAAAACGTATCTATTACGTATATGACACTCGTATATATAAGTACTTTGACTAACGTTGTGTGCGTGCGATTTTATTTTTTCAGAAGTGCTTAGTGAAGCAGCAAGATGCGTAAAATAGCCTTGTTATTTGCGGTAGCCGTAGCGATGGTGGCTGCATTCGGCGTCGTGCCGACAGCTGCGAAGAAACAAAAAGAGAACCGCGGTGAGGGCTTGACGGCCACCGGCGATAACGGCAACGACGTCGGTGATACCAGAGTAGAGGTGGCCAACGAACACGACAACCAACGGTTTTCGCCGGTGCGCGCGGTGGACGAGTCGTCCGCAGCGGCCACGCCTGAACCGGTGGCGACGGCCAAGACGCCGACCAARCAGTCTTCGAGCAAGCAGCACAACGCTAAGCTGTTGAACAAGTTGGGCATGAAGAGAGTGCGGACAACCAGTGGCAGCGGCAATGACAACGGAATTGCAAATCATCACCGGAAACGCTTGGCCAGCCAGTCGAGGAGCAAGTACGCTGCGGACGGCAAAGGCAATTCGGACTCGCAAATGTTCATTGTCAAGTTGCCACCGCATTCGCACTTTTACGACGACGGGTCGGCCGCCCACCAGAGGCACCAGCAARCGCCCTACAAGAACCTGAACACGGTGCCCGTGGGATTCGTGTCCAACGGGAAACCGGCCAAGGTTTAYCACTGGAACCTGCCGATCATCAAGCACGCGCTCAGCGGCGGCCGTTACAAGGGCGTCAACGACTTGGCCACGATGCAGCAACAGCAACAGATGATGCATCAACAGATGCACCACGTGCAGCAGTACGCTCAGGCCGGTGACTTTGAACTTCCGTCGGCGTCCAGTTCCAAAATCTTGCCACGCCGCACGCTCTACTACAAGCCCCGGGCAGCCGGAAAACCGGTGAAAAAGTCGTTCGTCAACAACGGCAAGCCAAATGGATTCTACGTGGTCAGCAGCAAGAACTCGGCCGCGGTCGTACCGCAGTACCACAAGATCATCAAGGCGTACTACGGTAGCGGCGACGATTAATAAGCATGTAATAATTAATACGCGCCAGCTGCAGCAACTATCCCACCCGTCGCCCGAGTCATCGATCGCTATACGCGTAAGTCGTGCAAACCGTTTTCGTGTAATAATAATATTAATCTTTATAAGCGTGTATATTGTGTATGACTTTGAGGGACAATCAAAAGTCGCAAAAAAATTCGTATGGTCCGCCCGAAAGCGTGGTTTTTCAATTTATTATTATTTTATTTTATTTTTTTTTTTTTAACGGCACGTCGAGTTCAGTTTCTTCTTCGCCGAGAGCGTGATCCATGTTGGTAGGTATATACAGATATTTTGTTTCCATCAGAAAAACATTTTCACCTTCGCCGTTAAAAATAAATCCATAAATCGTCACGCGTGGGTGATTATGTGCAGCTCCGTGTTTCAGGCGCAGTTAAGACGCGCTGAGCTCACTCGTCGCATTATTATTATATGTACCGCCCACGGTCCACACGTTTAGTATATGATTTAATATTATGACATTAAATATACAGAGTGACCCGTCGACGTTGCAGTGACGAATCGTTATTCGTACAACGTTTAACACGTCTTGACGTCGTCGTCGTGTGCGATATATAATATATGCGACGACAGTACATCGCGTTAAAAATATATAATATATATATATATATATATATATAGGTAATAGTTATCTGGTATATAGGCACGCATAGAAGTATATATATACTAGCGAGTTTAGTATTCTGCCGCAGTCCATCATACCGTCCGTATATGAAGAGGCGACACGTCGGTAAACGTCGGTATTTAGGTATGCCTCGATTTCTTCTCCATGTATACGCCCGTCTTTAGCCAGTTATATTATTTCGATGTGATGACACTGTATGGCATTTATAAAGAAAACCGCTCAACCTCGTCGAATGGTTATGCTAATAGTAATAATAATAATCTATTACGCCAACGATTTTATCGTTTGCTGAACGCTCGGAAAAATATCAGACGCCATTATTACGTATAGGTACTTAGAGTACTATACATTCATTATTATTCTCATCGTTATTATTCTGCTATAACTTATAAGTACGCATTGACTATTATTATTTAAACATCGATTTTTCGTCCGAAAATCTAACTTGAGGTTACGTTAATCGGGAGCCGTCTATAAAATATTAAGAGTCAATTACTCAATTATATTTGATTCAATAATAATATAATATGATATTAATCGTCTGCCATATTTCGAGAATCACGGGTGGCAATTACGGTCCATAGTGAGGGCCAACTCAACCAGTTTCGTTTTGCACCATTTAGGTGCACGTTTAATCGTATTCATAATTTTTTTTCATCCAATGCCATTTATGATGTTCTATTATAAATACATGGTACTTAAACTTAACTATATATACGTCAAATATCACATTATCACTGATTTAATATAAAGGTTTTTTTCGTGTCCATTGAAATCGGTTAACGATMTTTGTGCTAACGCAATAATAATAATACAATATACACTCACCAGTTTAGACGGGACCGTTTTTAAAGGAGTTCAATATAGGCAATTTTCTAAATTTTTTTCGTGTAAATTTATCTGCGCAGTCAATGATCATTATAGTATGTATGAATGTAGAAGTTTAAAAGAAATAGCGGAATGCTCCCGCACGTGCACGCTTGCATGATATAATAAATAATAATACACGATATGTAAACAAAATGTATTAATTTTTTTTTTACTGGTGTCTTAGATTATCAATCGTTTGACAATAAAATTGTATTATCTATTAACCTATAATTAACTATTAACCTATTGATCCGGTAAAATTTCTGAAAACGTATTTGAATCATGTTATTTCTCTCTTGAACGCCAACATATACATTTTAAATTTCATACTCCGAAGAAAATATTATTCGGAGTATTTCGATCTATAAAATCCAAATTTCGGATAAGTAAACATCATGAGTTATAAATTTTTATACAATTTAGACGAACGCAGTAGGTAGTGGACAATCCTGTGGCGTAACAGGAACGATACTTATTCATACAAATAGTAAAAAATAATAAAAAAWATAATATATTTATAAATGTTGTTTTTTAACGGCTAAAAACTATGCAAAAAAATATTGTCTAGAAAAATAATAAGTTTAAAAAAATTTTACGATTACGTTAAGTGCGTACTTCAGTATTGCCGATCGACAGATACTCATATATTATTATATCCGTATATATTTATTTATACATACACGTGTGTGATTGTAACGAACAAGTTCCAACGTATTATGTGCTTAGCCCAGATAGTATCGGACGCGATGTAATTACTCATTATGTGTATATAATATACACATAATCGTAAACCCTTTAAAAATAAAAATAAAATAATGATATTCATATCGTTACTGATCTTGAGTGCGTGTAGTTTTCTCTTAGGCGGTAAAAGCAGGCCCCGAAAGAAAAATATTTATTTTTTTTATGTTTTGTTTTGTATTATTTTTATTTTTTAGAACACGCGAGCACTAAGATTATATTATTAAGGATAATGGTATTGTCCTGATGCCGCCGCTGGCCTGGTGTTCAATTATTGTTTCTCGTCTACTAAAATTTCTATACACACACGCTCRCGCAGATGTATACATATGCATACTTATATGTTTACGTATATTACACGCTTAACCGTGGCCACGGCGAGAGGGTCACTATTCCGTGAACTTTATAATATGTTGTATACTGATATTTCACGCCTAGTGCGCTAACGGTACATCAGTGCATATTTACCGGTTTGAAAAATTGAGAATTAAGGAAAAAACATCGTGTTCTACGTACAATTATGTCAATAAGGTTGTATTATGTGTGTATGTAAGAGTCTGTGATATTACAAAAATACATATTACAATCATTCAAATTCCGCATTTGAGTATACCACGTACCTATAAGATACTATATTTGCACGTTGACCATTTTTCGACGTGTTTTTACGCAAATATTTAATAAAAAACGATCGAAATTAAAATATTTTTTCCATCGGTAAGAAAAACGTACCAAGAGAGTGGACAAAAAAATCAATAACAAATATCTTATCTGCTATACCTYGCAGGCTGCAATACCAATAACCAAAAAAAAATTAAAAATTAAAAAAATTACTTTGTCTAACGCTCGACGGTTTGTTTGCGCACGTCATCGTTAATCAATATACGATTTTTACACGTTAATAATAATACTTATGTACACATYAGACAGGCGCACCCATATTAAGTTGTCTCTGTGCAACGCAGTTCATCGCATGTTTCGCGAGGTTGCTCTCGTGGTGCTGACAGGTTACAAATTATATATACTTCAATAATATTTGTAGGTACCTTTTTTTTATTATTATATTAGCAGCTCGCAGAAACAGCACCGAGAGAATTTAGTGCGTTTATGCGGTTCATCAAAATGAAAACACTAAGAAAAATTATCGGTTTACAATATTCATTAAATCTTAATACCACGCGTCAAGTGTTTCAGTATTGTGTCCTATATATAGMCACTAATAATAAATATAATACTCGTATTAGTACGGCATACACAATATACATGATATATGAAAATGGTATAATTTAATTTTATGTTCGGACGTTTATTCACTGCTGTTTCAGTAAGAATCAATTTAATGTGTTTATATAGCATTATATATTGCCTTTTTTTTGAGTCATTGACCGCAAAATGTAATTAAATATATTTTTCCACTAACCC